ATATTTAATTATAAAATTTTAAATTTCAAAAACAGTTAAAATCAAGTAGATCTATAAACATATGAAAATGGAAGGTGTGGATAATATGTTGTAAAATACACTATTTCCAAGACTTAAAACCTTTTTATTTTTCATAGTCATAGATCTCGATGTCGAGATGATCAATCAAAGGGTTTTTCAATATTAAAACTACCTTTTCCGATGAATTTTTGAGGGGCATCCGTAGTTTGTACATTATAAGGTTGCATCCTTATATAATCTTTTTCCTTCCTAGATTGAAAGTTCAAAAAAAAAAAATTCGAACTTTATGACACACCTAATGACTAATAAAATTGGTCTCATAGTGTACATTTCCTAAATGAAATCTCTCTCGTATTGCTTTTTGAGATCTTGTCCTTTATATAATGGAAAATTATTTCATGCGGACTGGACCACATTTCTACAATATATAGTCCAAAGGTATAAAGCATCCATTTTAAAGATGGATGCAAATAGGTGGTCCATCTAAAACAATTTAACTAACGGTTTAAATGTTTTTTAATATAATTATTATTTTTAATTTTGAAAAAATATTCATATTCATGATCTAATGTTAAAGATTATTGTTATACATCATTTTTGACATATTTGTATTCTTGAATCGTATAAGGAGAGAGCCAGTAACAACCTGGTCCTGCTGGTACCCAAGACACCGCCAGACCATGAAAACACTGCAAAATAATCCTAATATTGAGCAATCTTGGAAAAAAAAAATATGCCAGAATGGTTTGAAAAGCATGAAAAGGGTAGTTTGGGATGCTTGAAGGATACTCACAAGGTTTCTTCATATTCCAATAAATTTTGATACGATCAAGACGAAATTCGGTTCTCAAGACCAGTTCGACCTTATAATTACAGTCCTATGCTAGGGGCATCAAAACAATACCAGACCACCATGATTACACTTAGAACGTTGAAAAAACCTCTGGGACCAAATTTGGGCTCAATCGGACCTCCCAAGAATGTCTTGCGCCTAAATTACCACAAAATGGGAGGTTTTACAATATTACGGTGCGGCCTCACCAAACCGGTTTCCAATCTTGGGACTGTATTTTCACACCTCGGGATGATCTTCAAGCGTCCATAGGTCACTCACTGGGAATTAAAACAAGCTCAAATTCGGACACAAGTTAGGTTTCAACCACCTGGTCATTTTGACATATGGTACGCGTCGTGACGTGACCCAGAACCAAAGATTTTCTAGAAAGAAGAGGAGCCCAAAACCATAAAAATCAGAGCTTTAAAAGAAAGACATCCCGAGCTTCGTGAATCAATAACTTGAGATCCATGCATTGGATCATTGCAAAATCGGGCCTGATGTGATTGTGTCACGAAGGGCTACAAACTAGTATAACTTTTGCAAAAAAATTATAAAGTTGAAGAAGACAATGTTTCTCGGTCATCAGAATCCTTTTTTTTGGTGATCTCCCGAATTCAAAAATACTTCAAGCAATAACCAAATCGGACAAAACTTAGTGCAAAGCGACTGTGACGGTCTCCTCCTTAATTTGCAATCAAAATGAAGTCTCGGAGCACCATGAATCACATTGCATTGATGGCCAAAGATCATAATCTAGCCTGATTTTTACCCTTCGAAAAAAGTCTGTTTGAAGACGATCAAAAGACATCAAAATGTTCAGAATCAAGCAAACATCAAGTCTACGATGATGAATCGTCTGTATCACTGCCACAAGTACTTGAAAAATCTTCCAAAATCTGGCAATGGCGAGAGTCTCCTCAGAGAAAGGATGGTTTCATCATTAGCACAAAAGGTTTAAGGGGCATTTTGGTTATTATTCTTAAATTCAGGATTTTATTATAATTTTTTTTAATTTTAATTGGGCTTAGTTTTGAGCATCCACCTTTGGTGGGACCTCTATATAAACAAGCCTAGGTCATTTGTAAAAAGGCTAGATTGTTTTTTGAAATTGAGGCATTAGCTTGACTTTGCTTATGATTCTTGGATCCAGTAGAGAGGAGAGAGAGAACTTAGAAAGACAGAGAGAAGCTACCATTAGCCTAGGAACCATAGCCTACCCTGTGTGATAAGTTTCGGAATTGCATTACCTACGACTCCATCTCTCTTTCCATGCCTCTTTCTCTGTCTCCTTGCATAGTAACTTGGAGCCGCAGCCCCTGCGACCCCGTCTTGCTGCTTGCATCTCTCTCTCTCT